ACCAAAGCTTAAAAAAAAAAAAGGAATTTATTATCTTGAATACTTGAGTAGAAAGACAACCAATTTGAAGGGACTGGAATGAAGATTAATCTGATTTTCAAAAATTTTGTAAAGTTTTACAGAAAATGACTACAACTGAGAAAGTACGATCCTAACACATTTTATAACATCATTATTGACATTGGACTATATCCACTCAAACACTTAACAATAACAATATATGCTTTAAAAACTCTTTAAAAATAATTATTTTAAATATTTCAATATTCTTATACCTAGTCTGACCTGTTTGTTTTGTTTGGTAAGCTCTTTAAGGCAGTGAAAGGGTAAATGTTTAAATCAACTTTCTCTAAACTGCACCAAATTCTGAAAAACTCTTCCAATATTTGCCTTGAAAATTAGTTTAAGTGTCTGAAAATTGTAACATCTTTCCTATTTAATAGGAGGCTCTTATAAACAAGTATTTATAGGAGTTGAACTTAACCAGCCATAGCTAACTTACAGTTACAATACAAATACATTCATAGAATTAAGACTCTTTAACTTTTGTTTTTTAAATTGGTATATTCATATTATGAAAAGAACTTATATACATATAAGTATGGAGTTTCTGGGTGATACAAATGGTTAGATGCTTGATTATTTACTAAAAGTTTGGTGGTTTGAGTTCATCCAGAGATAAAGGCCTGGTGATTCACTTCCAAAAGATCACAGCCATTAAAAATATCATGGAGTACAGTGCCACCCTGACACAGATTAGGACTTCATGAACTGGACTTGACGCAAAGACAACTTGTTTGGGGTTTTGGTTTAGTCTCTTCTGCTGTAGTGTTTTGTTTCGAAGATGTGACTTTGTCTCTTAATGTGGATGGATTATTAGGAAATAATGTGAACACAATGTAAACTTCACTTTGGCTTAGTGTGATTTTATCCACAAGAAGCACTAGGTAGAAGCAAAAAGTTAACACTTGATTGAAGCCAAAAACATAGTGCAAACACACACACACGCATCCCTTAAATATGTCAGGTTCCACAGTTCACTGTATGTGATGAGCCACGGATCATTCACATGTGGTGTTAAATCTGTCATAGGATTTTAGGGAGCCCTTCTTTCACTAATTCACAATAACTTACAAACTGCAACCTTTCCAAAGCCCTGTTCTATGAGCTAGCTCCATGTCTTTTTCCAGGTGGTGGTTGCTAGGTACTTACTGTTGAGTTGGTTATTACTTACAAGGACCGTATGGACAACAGAACTAAAAACTAACTCGTGCTGCACCCGCCTCACAATCTCTGGGTGCCATATTTATTATAGTATTTATGTATGTCTTAATCATAAATTAAATGTACTTTATTAAATGGACACAAATTACATATTTTTTAACCATTTAACTGTTTTAACATGGTTCTACTGTTTTTGTTAGGTTCCTTTCTTTCACTTTTAATTTGTCACTGATAAAAGTTTTGAAGTCATGTTCTTAATCTCACTTTATCTAAAAAAGCCCTCTGGTTTTGATTGCATGATTTTGAATAGAACAATTATTTTTAGGAAGGCCTAAGTCTCCTCATCTGGTGCTGTAGGATCAGAACTGGACTTCGAACCACAAGGCTGGCAGTTCAAACCCATCATCTGCTCCTCAGAAACCCTATTTATGGTCACTGTGAGTAAACATACTCAACAGCACTTAGCAACAACAATATAAGTCACAATATAGCAAAACAGACTATTTTTAGTGTACTTCTCAAACAATTATCAAGTGGTCATAAATGATGGTACTTAAAGCACGTGAACCAGAAGGTCAATGGCATGTTCGAGGGAAGAGTCTGGTCAGCTGCCACCATTCTGGACTTAGTTACTATAAACTTGTTCTATGCCACTTAAAAATTAATTGTAAAAGCACACTAGGTTCATACTAAGGAACTTATTGGAAACAGACCATTTTAAAATAGGAAGCCGTTGGCCCTAATTTCTGTGGCTCATTTTGACCTTTCCTATTTCTAAATTCTTAGTTTTGGAACAATTTACAGTAACTGCTTTTCTACACAATTTTCCAGAATTAGTCTGTTTCTCTTCCAACTTTAGGCAGAATGAATTCATGTCTTACATATATAAAGATATAATATTTCATTCTTCATAGAGAAATACTCATTAGACATTCATAAAATAATTTCATAAATGTATAGGATATTCCTTTTCTAAACTAAGGAAAAGAATGAAAGGCCCTTTAATATCATGGGTTCATATATATGCATTCTAAAGAAAAATGAATAAATGATTCTTTCCTTAGAATTCATCTTCTGAATTTTTAAGACAAGGAAATAACCAAATCGAACCCACTGCTACTGAATTGATTCCAAGTCATAGCAAACCTGCAGGACAGAATAGAACTGTCCCATTGGGTGTCTCTCTCAGAGTGGCTTGTGAGTTTGAAGCACTGACTTTTCTGTTAGCAGCTGAACTCTTTAATTATGGTGCCATGTGGGCTCCAGACAAGGGAACAGAAAATAAGATACATAGAGAGAGATTCCTGATACGGTGCTGTGGGTTAATGCGCTAGATTACAAGGTCAGTTTGAACCGCGAGGTCAACAGTTGAAGCTCACCAGTCACTCCATAGAAGCCCTATACAGCGTTGCTATAATTTGGAACCGACAGGATGACACTTACAACAACAATATATTTATATATTTAACATGGGGAGTCCTGGTGCGGCATTGTAGGATAAGCACTGGGCTGCTAACCACCAAGGTTTGCAGTTCAAACCTACCAGATGGTCGTTGGAAACCTTTATACAGGATCGCTGTGTGTCGGAACTAACTCGATGGCACTTAGTAACAACAACAATAACTTAACATGCATAATTTTTATGCTGTGCAATGCTATCCTGGATTTTTCTCCAAGAAACAGTATGATTTGAGAAGGAAAAAAATAAAAACTCTTCATAAAAGTGTGCCTACAAAGGTTTCCTTTTTAAAATGACATATAGTATATTATTCCTGCTAATTATCTGATTTTGATGTCCAAATCAGTTATTTTACTAATTTTTCTCAATTAACCTTAGACTTTTGACTACCATACATACCATTTTTTTTTTCAGTCTATGATTAATGCTTCAGATTCTCACCCTGCTATGAACAAGAATAAACTCATCTTTTCATTCCGCATTTTAATCCTGGAGGGTCTCACATATCTTCCATATCTCTCCATCCACCAATCACACTAAATGCTTTGGGTATATTAAAATCACACCACCAAAACAACAAAAACAGAAACAAAATCACAACACTATTTTCTCAAGTCAATTGTAATTGTTAAATGACAGATTATAATCCTGAAAGATTTAAATCATAATCCTTCATTTTCATTTATTTCAAACCCTACAAACACCTTCTTCAATAGAGTATAGAGAACTGCAATTATTTTACACTCGAGTATGAAATCAGCAGAAATGTATCTCCATGACAAACATGCCTAATAGACACTGTGGTTCAGTGGATTATTTAATATCACTTCTAACCATGCTGTTGTTAAAGTGCCATTGAGTCAGCTCTGACTCATGGTGATCCTGTATAGAGTTTCTGAGGAGTGTCTAGTGGGTTTGAACCACCGACCTTGTGGTTATCAGTCCAGTGCTTATCCTACAGCACCACACCAAGACTCCACTTCCAGCCATGATCTTGGTAAAAACTCCCACCAAACAACAATTTTGTCCTATTAGGTCTAGGTAGGATAAGATGGGAGAAGACGCTGACAGGATTACATGATTCTGTTGTGAGTGGTTAATAGGGTTAACGATAATCGTAAAAACCTCTAACTTCACCATGTATAAAATGTGCCATCTCAGAAACAGGAAGCAGGTAATCTGGCTACTGTCATAAACTATAAACCAGGAATGGAGCGTGTTCTTTAGACTCTGAAATCCCTCCTTGACCAGGAACAGATAGTTGTGACATCAGAGCACAGACAGAGCGGTGGGCTTTCCAGCCCACAGAACAAGTAAAGCTGAGTGACTTTAGGCAGGAGGCTTACTTGCAGAGCAGGGTGCCTATGGACACTTAATTGGGGTTGTTCTTGTTAAGTATCATTGAATCGGTTCCAACTCATAGGGACCCTATACAGAGTTTCCGAGGAGCAGCTGGTTGGTTTGAACTGCCGACCTTGCGGTTCATGGGGCTAGATTTGCTGACCCACGGCGTTAGACCCCAGTACCTTCAGACAGAGGCTTATGGTAGAGTGGTGTGTCCTGTGGGCATTTATCAGCAGTTCTGAAAGAGCTTTGTAGCAATGGCGGGGCAGAGAGAAGCCTGCCTGTGAGTATGGCTATGGAGAGGTTGTCCTGGAACAACTGTGCCCTGAGCATATCTGAGCCCGAACTGTAACCTGTTAAATTCCTTAATAAACTTCGTAACTCTGAGTCTGGTGTCTGAGTTCTGTGTGGCCATTGCAATGGATTAGTGAACTCAGATGAGAAGTAGAGAGTGCCATGGGAGGGATGGTTAGTGACATATTCATGCAGACACCAATTATATCAATGAAAACAATCATTTAAAAGTTTTCTGAAAATTAATAAATGAAATACCTAATAAATGATAGATGTTCAAATAATTGTTGTTAAATGCTGTTGAGTCGATTCCGACTCATAGGGACCCTGTATAGGACTTCCGAGGAGCAGCTGGTGAAGCTTCAACTGCCGACCTTGTGGCTCAAAGTGACCTTGCAGTCCTGCACATAAATCCACAGTGCCACACCAGGACTCCAAATAACTAATGCTGTTGTTGTTAAGTACCGTACAGTTGGTTCCGACTCATAGTGACCCTGCACAGGGTTTCCAAGGCTGTAAATCTTTACAGAAGCAGAAAGCTTCATCTTTCTCCCGCGGAACCGCTGGTGGTTTCGAACTGCTGACCTTGAGGTTAGCAACCTGATTCGTAACCACTATGCTACCAGAGCTCCTAAATAATTAATACGTATCTCCAATTTAATATGTAGATTTTACTCACCTCCCGTATGACTTGCTGCAACTCATCTTGCTCCACATTTTTATGCATTTCCTCAGTGGCTGGCACTAATGGGACACTTCCATGGCCTTCTTCCACTTCAGATGTAGGTCTGACAGCCTCCGATGCTTCTTCAGCTGCTCCAACGTCCTCAGAACTTTCCAATTCTGGAGGGGTCTGCACAGAACCTGCTCTAGAAGGAGCTGTGGGTGTGAGAGCTACTGAGGCACGGAATACTTTCTTCCTTGACACTAACTGGGTTTGGGCTTTGCCCACTGAGTCACCAGTTCTTCTCTTAGTATGAGAGGGACTGGAACACACAGAAGATGACTCTGATGTTCCTTGGGAGAAAACGGATTCTGAGCTTTCTCCAGGAGGAATTTCAAACCCCATTTCTCCAAGCGCCAGGCCCAATTCAGACTTCAGGTAAGACTGTTCCCGCATCAGTTCAGTGACCTGCAGATCAAAAAATCATTATTCTCTCTTGAAATAATGATTGGTAGCTGAAGAGAAGATTAAGATCCTTCTAAGACTACTGCCAAAAATTACATAGCTCATAAAGATGTAATTCTAATTTGTTAATTTAGAAACTATTCCAATGTCACTTGCAAAATCATCAAATAAAAGTTAAACACAGTATGTGTAACTAGAATATATACACCCACTGCCGTTGATTCAATGCCCACTTAGAGCGATTCTGTTATAGAATTTCCATAGGTTCCAATGTTGTATTCTTTAAGGAAGCAGATACAGGTCTTTCCTCCCCACAGAGCAGCTGGTAGGTCCAAACCACTGACTTCTGATTAGCAGCTGAGAGCTTCACCACAGTGCCACCAAAGCTTCTTAATTAATATGGTTGGTTGAAATTGTACTTGTTATCACATGGGTACAAATTACTTGTATCAAAGTTGGTTTTCTGTTGATAACCAAACCAGCAGCTTAATGCGTTTGTCCCCAAATGAATCCAATTTGCTATTTTAATAATAGAAATCACTTATATTAAAAATGCAGTTTTCCAGATCCAACTATACTTAACTATGCCTAGGATGAAGTCAGACTGGGAAAGTGTGTTTACCTTGGAGTATAAATGGAAAACTTTGTGGCACATCTCCTTTAGGCCATAAAAAACTCACATTTACAATTAAGCTGGGTTTCTAGTGGCAATAAAATTTCAGAAGTGCCAAACACTTCTAATCAATAACTTATTATCAAGATTCTGAGTTTAAAAAGTCCATTTCATCTACACTATGAAAACTGTGTTTATGAAATGTCTTACTGTATCATTCCCTTCCCCAGTGATTTAAAAGGTAAGAGTCTTACTGGTTCCATTACATTCAATGGAGAAGGGCATGACAAGTTATCAGCGCTCCTACTGCCACACATCCCCTGAAAAAGTAAGAACAATATATACAGTTTTTCAAATTGTGTTTTATAATAAAATTGGCTAAACATTGCTCTGTAGAATACCATTACGTCACATAGGTCACAACCGTGATGGAATTCTATAAAATGCGTTATTGTGACTGAAAGGCAGACAGGAGGAGACGTGTAAGCATTCTCATGCTCTCATAACATCAGTACAATTCTCAGCATGGAACTCAAAAACCATGGTGTGGAAAAAATATATTCATAAAAGATTCAGAATATTCTTACTCTAGAACTACTGCGTTTTCTTCTGTTTACCCTATTTATGTGCATATTATGTGTCTATTCCTTTTAGTTCTAGCAAAATCGTATTTAATGTTCAAGGAACGACAACAAAAAAGTTCCCTATTTCAATGCCTCACAACAGCATACTGTACTTCTTTTCTTCAAAGGTTCCAGTCTCATGGAAAGGAACATCAGAGTACACAAAATCAAGAGAAAATAGTGTTTCTTTTTATCCTTAGTTGTAGTCCTGTACATGTTTCGGACTTAAAGATCCCATTTGATTCCTTAAAAAAACATAATGAATGGGAAATATAACAAAGGGTATTTAAAAAGGAATGGTTAATTATTAAAAAAATTAATAAAAATCAAATGAAATACATATTTCAGTTTTTTCTGTTACATTGTTGTTGTTAAGTGCAGTCTAGTTGGTTGCGACCCTGTTACAGGGTTTGCGAGGAGTGGCTGATGAGCTTGAACCACTGACCTTGCGGTTCAAATGACTTCACAGTGCAGTGCACTATCCCACAACACCACATACAATGGTTAAAATGTAAACTAGTCACATAGTGACTCATTATCAATTTTCTTTTAAAAACTCTTAACTTTCGTGTTCCACTTTCGTTTCTTCTATTATAAAGATGATAAACAGTTTTTCAATATACTTTGGAATATACGAAATAAAAAAATAAGTTGAAAACTTGCATATTCAAGTGATTTGTGGGAAAATTCCTTAAACATTTTGAATGCCTCCTCTCCTGCCATTAAAATCAATGTTTTAAAATTAAAGTATCTGCTCTAAATTACAGGGAACATTACAAGAAATCCTTACTGAAAACCACTGACAACCCCAAACACCTACCACGAGTGCTGAGGAGCGGAAGGGAGAGGCCACGCGTACGGCGCGAAGCTGCTCTTCCAGGCCCAGCAGGCGCTCTTCCAACTGCAGCTCCAGGTCCTGAAGCTCCATCCGGACGGAGTTTCTCAAACTCTGCAGCTGATCAACTTCGTATCTACCAGTAAGGCAACAGGCACAAACCTTACATGAAGCAGTTTAGGAATTCCTATCCATAACTCTCTTGTCAACCAGTAAAGGCAAATTGAGGGTACTAATCTTCCAAGTACAATAAATTAGCACAAGGGCTATTGCAGCAGTCCTAGCCACCAGGACAAGCATTCTTTCTTCCTCTATTCTCTCTCACAAAGATCACCAATACTAAAAAACAGACTACAACCACCATCTTTCTCAATATAGCGAAGGCCCACTTAGTTAAAAACTACGCCGAATTTTATTTACAGTGGTTCACAAAACAGACACAGGGTACACAGCAGAAGAAATACAAGCTAGCTGATAAGACTGACAACGCAACTTAGAGTGAAAAACAGATGAGTTACATTAAGACAAAATGAACCTTTACCTTTCCTCTTCAGTCATATGATGATAAACCATGGTTTGCTGACGCAGCATTGCCAATTCTAAATCCATCATTTGTGTTCTAAACAAATTCAGGCTCCGCCTCATTACTTGGAGCTCCTGAAAAGTATTCTAAAAGAAAATAAAATAAAGTTAGACTGCTCTCATGCAAACTGTTTTGTGGTGTAGGACAAAGACGTAAGAACTTACTTCATAAAGAGGTAGAACAGATGACTTCTGAGTACTGTATGGGGCAGCAGCAAGATCAGGTCCTCTTATCATCGGGTACTTCAAAAAAGGGAAAAAAGCATTAAAATCAATGCTAAAGTGACTACCTTCAAATTCTCTAATGTTAAAAGGCAATACTTTGGGTCTATACATTTTCCTATGTTGGGGAGAAAAAAAAAATTATAAGCAGGAACCAAAAAAATCAGTTCCCACTATGCTACTTACTACTCTAGGAGTTCCAGGTGTGAAGTAAATTTGGAAGGAGGAAGGGGCAAAGAAAGAGGTATAGTTCATATCTACGTCTTACAGGACTTCTTCTTGCATTAAGGAAGTAGAGAAACAAAATACAAACAAAAACTTAAAAATATAGACTAACAATAAATGCCATTCTGAGATTGCAGTAATGACTATCTGTGGCAAGCAGCAAGCCATCCTCACATTCATTCTGAGATATCTGAGTGTCTCCTCAAGTCCTGGTGTGGCGAGGTAGAATAAGCGCTCAGCTGCAATGTCAGTTTGAACCGCAAGGTTGGCAGTTCAGATCCACCAGCCACTTCTTGGAAACCCTCTACAGGGTTGCTAAGAGTCAGAACCTACTCAAAGGCACTTAACAATAACTTCAGGCAGTGAAAACTGAAAAAGTTGTTCTCTAAGAAGGGTTCTCATAGTCTAAGGGGAAAGAGAAGTAAACAAATTCCTGCAACAATGGGAGGAGGAATGCCAAGATGAAAAAAAAAAACAATCAGAATTCTACACCAGGTGAGTCAGAGAAACATTCCCAACAGTGGTGATACCTGAGCTGAGTCTTAACCGTAAATAAGATTTGGTCAGGCATAGAAAAGGCAAGAGTGGGGCTTTCCAGGCAAAGAAAGAGGCAGGTGTAAAAACAAAACAAACATAAAACAGATCCTTGAGAACACACTATTTAGAGACCAGCATGTAGTTCAACAAGGAGCTCTGGTAGCGTAGTGGTTACGAATTGGGCTGCAAACCTTAAGGTCAGCAGTCTGAAACTACCAGCTGTTCCGTGGGAGAAACATGAGGCTTTCTGCTCCTGTAAAGATTTACAGCCTCAGAAACCCTGTACAAGGTTGCTATGAGTTGGGACCAACTCCATGGCACATAACCACCACCATGGAGTTCAACATGATGGGAGCACACTTAACGAATGAGACTGGAGAGAGGGTAAAGGCCAGGTCATGAGTTAGCAGCTGTCAGTCCAGGCTGCTAACTGCAAGGTCGGGGATTCACGCTCGCCAACGGCTACTCAGAAACCCTATACAGGGGCCCTGCTGTGAGTCGGAACTGACTTGAGGGCACTTAACAGCAACACTGGCTCAGGGTGGTGGAGTTCTCAGTTGCAGTATTAATGAGACATCCAACAAAAGACAACAAGCTGGCCTAGAAAGGAAGGTGTACCCTGATGGTGCAGATGCACAGAGCCCTAGAAATTCCCTGCTTCACATCATTACAGTTGAAAAGTTACAGCTTTAATATGAAGCCAAAGTGGCTTCCCATCTGTCATTTCATCATCCTTGCTGTCATCATAAGACATCTGCCTGTGCATTTAAAGCCTCCTGGCTCCGAGCTAAATATTATAACCATTCCACTGTGTTGATATTTTATTTTCTCAACTGTCTAAATGTAAGTTAGAATATTTCTAGATTTCTAGAAAAAAAATTTTGAAATTGTGAAGACAACTTATTAAATTTCAAAGTTTTTGAAAAAATTTTTCCCAGTCTACTCACTAATCTGAGTGGTAATTTTAAAAGTGACCACACATACAGGCCATTTTTGTTGGCATTCACACTTTACCTTCTTTTCTTCTGGCAAAGTTCCAGTCAATGGGAATGGGACTAATTTCCATACCAGGGGGTCAGCTTCAGGAGTCAGTAGGTGAAGGGGAAAGCTTAGTCAGAGAAGTACCAGCAGAACCAGGAGAGAGGGCTGTCCCAGAAGCCAAGGAGAAGGACACTTAGAAGAGAGAGACTTGGTCAACACTGTCAAACAGCAGAGGGAAAAAGAAAGGTACTATGAGAGGAAAGATTTTTGAATAATAGGCGCAACTTGACAAAGTTTCTAGACTAACAGGAAGATAATGGAGGAGAGGTTGGAAAGGGGATGATTTTTAAAAGCTCTCCTCTCAGAGGGTAAGGTAATGATGAACAACAGTGAAATCAGCATTAGTTACAGCTTTTCCTTTGAAAGAGGAGGGAAGCATATAGGAAGAGGGCATGGATAGACAAGTTAAAGCATATGAAGCTGAGACAGTTCAGGCCTGACGGGTCTTAGCTTCTTAGAGAATCGGGAAGTGGTCAGCCCAATAAAACTAGACAGTCAGTGTGCACTTTCTCATACCTGTGAAAGATTCTGCAGTGAGTTTCTAATATCATGCAGCACTCTTCGCAGCTGCATTTCGATGGCAGAAGGAGGATTCACCGAGCATGCCCGGTAAGGATAGGCAGCATGTCTATGTGAGTAAGGACACCCAAAAGGAGGAGAGAAGGCACTACAGGTAGCTCCGGATATGTTGGGGACACTGTGAGTGCTCAGAGTTCGCATGTGCTCACACAGGGGTCTCTCCTGCCAATCAGAGTGAACAGAGTGAAGGGAGCAAGTGGACTGGGATATAGGCGCCGGAGCATAGTACGAGCAGGTGGGAGTCCTTCGATGATGGCCTTCTTCCAGCTGGTTCACTTCACTCTGGGAGCCTTCTTCTTTCTTCACAGAAGTTGGAGAAATGAAAATTGTGGATTTAACTAGAGACTGACCATCACGCTCAGTCACTTCTGTCTCCAATTCCTGCTCTTCTTCAGGTGTGTACTTGTAGGTGAAGGAAGGTGGACTGCATCTGGTCTCTTTTCCTGGAGACAAGCGGACATTGACAGCAGACACAACCCTTACTGGGCTCAATAATGTGGTTGGTAAAGATTGAGACCTTCTCAGAGGATAGCCAGCTTTTGCAATTAAGAGCCTCTGTTTTAACAGATCTTTCGATTTTATCAAGCTACGTCCTACTCGTTGACTACAAACCTTCATTTGAGCTCTTTGCAAAGCTGTGTTAACTCTGTCCACAGAGGAGGGAGTAGGCACAACTGTATCTTCAGAGCCTTTATTGTTACATTTAGCTTCAATAGAAGCCAATGATTTAAGAATATGGTGTGTGGTATATTGGGCAAATTCACATTCACTGTTTTTATCCACATCACTTTCAGCACTTTCTTCCCTGGGCAGCTGGACTCTGTGAGCTGGAGAAGTATCCTCTTGAGTTCCACTGATTTCAGTCATGTAATTCTCTTGACGACAGGTAGATTGTTCATTTCCAACAGCCTCAGCAGTCTCACATTTGGGGAAATTCTGACTAGCTGACTTTCTTTTGCCAGCACTGGTTGGTGTCTTCTCCCTTCCCTTCTGAGGAGGGATAAGGGACTCCTCCTCAGATTCATTAAAATAAGGCTGTTCTTGTGCTTTTGGTGTGACAAGCTCTTCACCAAATGATGTGACTGTTGTTTCGCTATCACAACTGTCAGCACTACTCCCCATAGCTTGCAAGGACTCCTGAACCTGTGAAAAGAAGACAGGTAGAGGGGTGATGAAGAAAACTAAGAAGCATCACTAAGAAAATCACAAACTGATGTGATGCTTCTCTGCACACATTTTTAGGGTCTCCATCTTGTTCATGCTTTGATAATGCTTACAACTGCTTCCACACACCCTAGATTGGCACATAATGTTAGCTATGAAATAAGTTAAATACTGAGACATAGTGATGGCTGGAAGAAGGAAATAAAACAGACCTAACAGACTAATGATCAAAACCTGTTCAATGGTGGTTCTTAGTTCACTTTTCCATACAGATTATTCCAAACCTTCACTATTTTCCTTAAATTCTCTTTCCAATCACATTTGCTTTTCTATGAACAAATAACACTGACACAGATAAAATGGAAGCAAGCAGATAAGATTTCTTAATGCCCCCCCAACACATCTATAAAATTTCCCATTATCTCTTTCCATCATTTGCTTCTTTTCTCTTTTCTCAAAGGAAACTGGTAATTTTCCCTACTGTGAAGCCCTTCTTTTTAAAGCCACTTCCTCCAACCTGTGTTCCTAAATCATGTCCTCGTCAAGACTTTGACGTTTCTCTGCAGTTCACTCACAGTCTTTTCTGGATCACCTAATTCCTGCTCTTGTAGCCTCTTCTCTTAGCTGGACAACTTCCCTAAGTCATTAATGAAGCAAAAAGATACATCCTTGAAGCTATCATGCTTCTTTAAAAATAAAAAAATTAAAATTAAATTCATATCTTCCCTTTTTCCCTTTCAATTTACTCTCCAACCCATTGAATTATGATTTTAAACTACAAATACTCCATTGGAACTGTTTCTCCAGCGTCAATCTCCTAAAAGCCAAGTTCCTATCTTTTCACTCTAGTGGTCATGGCTTTCCACTCCTTTAGCTCCCAACTTGTGTGCCCACCTGCCTTTCTGAGTCTCCCTAGTCACTTCTCTTCCCTACTCGTTCAGAAACGTGTTCTGAATGGCTCTTTCTCTAGGTTCTCTTACGCTCTCACTTCAATGCCCTTGATAACTTAGCTTATAAATATTTTTAAACACTTTTCTTGTATGTGCTATGTATTCCTCATATATACTATATACCTGTTTTCTGGATTATTGAACACAAGCTAGCACAAAAGTCAGTGTAATATTCATCAAACAATGGATACACATATAGTTCAGTTTTTAGCTGAGTTAAATACTAAAACACAAAGATGATTTTTAAAAAAAGGAAAAAAAAAAACCTCAGACTTAACAGGTTATTAATCAAAATAATCTGTTTACTCTGATGATAAAAAAAAATGGGAATGTGGAGGAAACTTTTTCATCTCTCTGAAAATATTTCATCAGAGATGAAGAATTAGTTAAACATAAAATTTGTAGAACAATTTTTAGATTAACTGTATCCCAGTAGTTTTATTCTGTCACTTGAAAAAACAAAGATCAGACAGATCAGTCTTAAAACATATGACACAAGGACAGATACACATGCAGAATGGTTATGGGAGGGAGAATAGGAGTACACCCGCAAATAGAGACGAGTTTGACAAAGGATATCTATACAAGGGGAATGACCATTGCTGCAAACACACCTATGAATCTGTAAGCACACAGGGGGCAAAATGACTTAAATATTACGAAACATCTTAAGGCAATGAATAGCTGGGACTACAGGCTCATAATCATAGTCTCTGGGGATACCATATTCAATTGGTATAACATCATCCACAAAGTCACTGTTCTTCATCTTACTTTCGTGAGTGGTGACTGGAATCTTAAAAGCTCATGAGCAGTCATCTAAAGTACTACTATCATTCTCTTTATGTGCAGAAGAAAGAAGAGTAATGAAAATTGAAGGTGCTGGGAACTCACTAGTCCAAGTTGATGGAACATGTGAACATCAGTCACCATGACTCTTGAGACGAGAACTAGATGGTACCTAGCTATAACTTCCAACTGCTCTGAAAGGTATTTTCATTAGAGAATCCCAGATAGAGTGGGAGAAAATGTAGAACAAAATTCAAAAAAATACTCAATTTACTTATCTGAAAGAGACTGTGGAAGAACCTGAGACTATGGCCCTCAGCCACCCTTCAAGTCTGAAATGGAGTTCATCCTCATGGCTCAACTTTCAGCTAAGCAGCAGAGGGTATATAAGAGGACAACATCACTAGTGCAGTATTCTCACCCTGAATGGTCAGCCATTCAAGATGAAAAGGGCAACATGTACCTAAGGACAAAGTTGAGAAGATGGGAAGAAGGGTGGACTAAAAATAGGAGCCACAGGGAAGAAGTGGGATAACTGTTCTTTAATGGAGAGGACTGTAATCATTGAGATGCTCATTGAAATATTTATCTGTTGAAAAATAGAAAATTTTATCAACCAACTTATTGCAAATGAAACATTTACCTGAAGATGGTTAAGAGAGAGGCAATCTGTTGAATCTTCAGCAAAACCACTGCTATCGGAATGCTGACTTGCAGTACGTAATAGATGATCTACCAAAAAAAACAAAGAAGAAAACAGGAGTTCTACAAAACTGCTAAATAAGACTTTAAAAAGAGCACTATTATTACAGACATATGATTTCCAATAGATTTAGCATAAACAACATGATTTCTTCTTAGAAAAGTATGCATTGTGGTTGTTGTCATTGTTAAGTGCTGTCAAGTCGATTCCAACCCATAGTGACCCTGTATGGTGTTTCCGAGGAGCAGCTGGTGAGCTTGAACCGCTGACCTTGCAGTTCAAATGGCTTTGCAGTCTGGCTCATTAACCCATGGCGCCACACCAGGACTCCCACTGACACAAAATTATGGCATTAAAGCATAAGGGGTCATTCAAATTGAAACAAAAACTGAATCAGATTTTCTATTAGAAATTATCAGTTTTCATTTGCTAATTGAGCTTTAATTACAATGCATTTTGGCAAATCTAATTAATGTGTCTTGTATTTAGAAAACAATCAGCTAAAATTAAAAATGGATCTATTAAAAATTGTTGTTAAGCTGTCTAGTCAGTTCTGACTAAAAAACAATTCTGAATAGGAACTGAGGAGCTGCTGGTAGTTTTGAGCTGCCAACCTTGTGGTTCACAGTCCAGTGCTACTCCGACAGCACCACACCAGGAACCCCTAATAAAAATAAAAATAAAAATCCCAAAGTAAAAAAAAAAAATCCATTATCTAAAGATGTCTACACTTTGTGGTGTGATGCTATGGGTTAATGCACTGGACTACAAGGCTGGTTTGAACAGCAAGGTTGGCAGTTCAAACTTACCAGGCACTCCTTGAAAACCCTATACAGAATTGCTGAGTCAAAACTCACTCAATGACACTTAACAACAACAACCAGTACTATCAGGAGTCCTGTTATAGTGCTATAGGTTATTGTGCTGGACAGCAAGGTCAGTTTGAACTGCAAAGCTGGCTGTTCAAACCCACCAGTTGCTTCTTGGAAACCCTATATAGGGTTGCTACGACTTGACTTGAAGGCACTTAACAACAAAAACATTTTAAATAATGCAAACATATAAGAGGGTTTCAAAAAGTCTGTGAAAAAATTCCATTATCTCTTAATACCATTTTCCCATAAAATGTTTAAAGCCCCTTTATATTTGTAAGTTATGATATAATTCTTTCAAAACAGTTATGTTAAGCAGTTATAAAATTCAACTATGGAATAACATTGTTAATTGTGTTGTTGTGCCAAGTCAGTACCAATTCATAGAGACCATGTATAGGGTTTCCGAGGCTGTAAACCTTTGTTGGAGCAGAGAGGCTCATGTTTTTCCTGTGGAACAGCTGGTGGGCTCAAACCACTGACTTGTGGTTCACAGGTCAGTGCTTATCCTACAGAGCCACTGCACTCCCTTATTAATTCCAGACAATTAACAAGGGAGTGCAGTGGCTCTGTAGGATAAAATAAAGTCTATTTTCCATGCCTTGAAACTCTAACTCTTACTTATTATAACCTTAAAAAAATTTTAAACACTAAATAAGAAGGTCACTTAAGCACAGCAAGCATGATCATAGTCCCATTTGCTCTACCCCTATGGGAAAGACTGTCACAATTATTACGGCTACATTAAGAGACATGCTTCATAGAACAGTAAAGTTCCTCAGAACTTCAAAAACAACAGGTAAATAAAATGCGTTGACCAAATCTTCATTCATTTCAAATTATAGAGAATAGAGAGAAACAGGAACTGATAATATGTTTAAATAAAATTCAAAATAAATAAAAGTTTGTCTGACTTTGAAAAAAAATTTCTACTGTAGCTTCAGGTTCAACCTGAAACAATATGAAAGGGAGAAACTTTTGTTTTACTCATTAAAAACTCAGAATATTTTTTTTAATATATTATTATGAATTAACAAAAAAGTATAGTGAAATATAAAGAATTAATCCATATCCTCAATAAATCCTATGTAAAATGAAATTGTTGTAAAACTGAATTGCAATAAGCTGTTACCATAAATATTAATTGTTGTTGTTAAGTTCCATCAAGTTGGTTCTAACTTGATGTTGTTGTTGTTGTTAAGTGCCGTCGAGTCGGTTCCGACCCATAGCGACCCTGTACAGGGTTTCCGAGGGTGTAAATCTTTACGGGAGTAGAAAGCCTCATCTTTCTCCCGCGGAGCGGCTGGTAGTTTAGAACTGCTGACCTTAAGGTTCGCAGCCCGATTCGTAACCACTACGCTACCAGAGCTCCTTTGATAGCGACCCTGTATAGAGTTTCCGAGGACCAGCTAGTGGGTTTGAACTGCCAACCTTGTGGTTCACAGTCCAGATATTAATTAGACAATTGATTAATTGAAAAAAATGATGAGCATCTTAACCTTGTAATTATATTTTTGCAAGTCTTTATTTTTTATCTTTTTAAACTGAATTGTGAGCAAAATATTTGCTAAGTGAACTAGTAACTATTTCTTCAAAACATCAACAGAATTAAGCAAGGGGTTTGAAAGACTCAGAATTGAAACAGTCTGTCTGGTTGGGAAGGACAGTTGCCGCAAAGCTCAGGGCCTGCCTCATGTTCTCTGCTAAGATTTTTCTTTATCTGCAGCAGAGTACAATCAATGTCAAGTTCACCACACCACAGTTTCACAGGTAACCTGAGCTCACGCAGGTTAGTGGAAAGAGCAAAGAAACCTGGGCACAAACTACAGCAATCACATTTCTCTGCTGCAAAATAGGATCATACTTTTTCTGTCTATCCCACAGGGCACTGAGGGAACTAAGCAGAATTTAGGTAAAATGATCTTATAAACTGTAAATCACAATCTAGGTTCTTTAGTCAGATGTTTCAGTTTTGCCAAAAAAAAAAACAACCTCAATTCTCTATAGTAAAAGACGGAACTAAAAAGGATTACATGTCTCTCATAACAAAAGATACAAGACAGCATTTCTAATTAGAAACTAGGAAGTTAGAAGAAGCATTAAAGTGAGAACAAAATCTGAAATTTTACTTGTCTAATGGCATATGAAGGAGCTCTGGTAGTGTTGTGGTTATGAATGGGGACTAGATTTGAGATTAAAGTCATTGAACTTCAAAAATCCACTATTAACGTACAAAGTACATTTATGTATGTACTATATGCATTTTGACTAAGCTTGTGAAGATGAATAATGAGTGATTCTAAGTCTACAATGATTATTAATCTAAGATACTTATATACCACATTATCAAAATGATAGGTTACCTTCCTTAATTACTAAAACACTATACTGTATTCTCTTCTTCACTCTCATACATGTACACACAAAACCATTTTACTGTTTGTTTATAACAATCTAAAACTGGCAACATTTTTGCTTATACCATCAGAAATAAGGGATCTAGTATTGAAAAGAGGTAGAAATCTATATAAATATAAAATGCACTCCCTGTTTCCAAACTCATTGAGCTTTGTTTTAAAAAGACACTATATTTTACTGTTGTTTATCTACCTTTTAACACATTGTGGTGGTGGTTGTTAAGTGCCGTCAAGTCGATTCCAACCCATAGCGATGCTGTATAGGGTTTCCAAGAAGCAGCTGGTGAGCTTGAACCACTGACCTTGCAGTTCAAATGACTTTGTAGTCTGATGCATTAGCCCACAGCACCACACCAGGACCCCTAACGCATACTTCACTATGCTACCAAGGCTCCTTTTTAACACATTGCAAGCTGCTTTTTTCTTTATCTACTAAAAGCATCAACTCCTTGCTGGTTGTGAACTGTTCTGTATAACTTATGACACTGTAGAAATTTTATTTGCAAAACTTTGAGGAAAGTCCAGAAACATATACATACATGTGGTTTTACGGACTTAAAGAGGGAAGAAAATTAAATAGGAAAGTTTGCTTTGTGTCTGGCCTGAATTAATAAACTTTGTTTATTACAGTATGATGCTGAAAAATAAGTGCTGCTCTTGTTTTTTTAGCATCAAACTGTAATAAACAAAAAACTGTATGCAAAGCATCTTTTACTTCAGAAACCAGTAGAAAACAAACATGGAATTTCCCATTCCAGTAACACACATATGAACCTTTGTTTTAAAACAAAACAAAAATATTGCAGTGGTTTGGCATGTGTAGTTTTAAAAATAACCAGTGATCATTTTAACTCCTTCCTCTTTCAACTTTTCTAAAAATTTCTAAAGTTTTGTGTATAATTCTTTTCTTGTTTCAAATTAAAAGTGAAAGGAATGGATTCAAAGGCACTTTGGTCAATAATTTATAATTCAAGAGAACGGTATCTGCAGTTACTCACCTTTGATCTCAATAGTTGGAATATATTTTAACTAGGTTTAACTGCTGTGAGAAATTGGTGCTTTTGCCAGAGTTTTATTTATGTCTTATACCTAGGAGCCATATTTAAATAATGAAAACCCATAGATAATACAGGGGTAGTTTCAATCATAGCAATGTAAAAGTAGTCTGAATCTGTTGCTTCATATCACTGGTGGGGAACTTTTTTTCTGCCAAAATTTATAACATCATTCATGCCATACAAAATTATCAAATTAAAAATCAGCCTACTCTGTTTGTTCAACCATTAACCATTTCATTAACTCACCCCTAATGAAGACCCTCGGAAACCCTGTACAGGGTCGCTATGGGTCGGAACCGACTCGAAGGCACTTAACAACAACAACAATGAAGACCTGGTATGGGGCTGTAAGATAAACACTTGACTGCAAGATCAGTTTGAACTGCAAGGTGGATGGATGAAACCCACTAGCTGCTCCTTGGAAACCCTACATAGATCAGTATTAACTGGAACCAATTCAAAGTCACTTAACAACAATGTGGTGCTATAAGATAAGCACTCAACTGAAAGGTTGGTTTGAATCACAAGGTCAGGGGTTCAAATACAGCAGCCATTCCTCAGAAACCCTATAGAGGGTCATTATGAGTCAGAACCAACTTGAGGGCACTTAACAACAACAACAATAACATGATGGCTGGAGCTGCAGTTGCCTTGGCAGGGCCAGATCAAATGATTTCACGAGCCTTATACAGTCCTGGTGTGGCGCTGTGGGTTAACGCACCAGACTGCAAAGTTGGTTTGAACCACAAGTTCAGCAGTTCAAGATCACCAGTTGCTCCTCAGAAACCCTATACAGGTCCGCTATGGGTCGGAACAGATTCAACGGCAGCCCGTGGGCCAGGTGTTCCCCAACCCTACTCTCTCTCTTCCCATCGAGCCCTTAGGCGATGCTGAAATATGTGAATCTGTTACTCTTTCTCTCTCTTCCCATGTAACCCTTATGCAGTGCAGAAAAAAGTTTGTGTAAAAATAGAATAAAAAGGTAACATACTTTTTCTATGAACTTTCTAGAGCCCCAAGAACACACAGAATTTTTGAAGATACCACTATAGGAAAAACAAACTACTAGTAGTTTGTGAGCACAAAAGTCAAGAAAATACAAAAAAAAAAAAAAAAATTCTATGACAAAACACTAACGAAGCATGCATGTGTGTGTTCTTGTTCTTATACTTAAAAGTACTTCAAATACTGATACAAGTTTTTTTTTAAAAAAAAAACAACAAAACATAACCTTTTCCACATAAAAGGGCAAGTCTTCATTATTTACTCTCAGGAAGTAGTAGATAGTGTTCTACTTACCTCGTTTTGATTTGGTCAGACCTAACTGGTAAGTGGCTGGAACATGAGGAGCCTCTCCCTCTGTACTTTGAACCTACGGAAGAGTTAGGTAGTTAAAACTAAAAGAATCTAAAGAGTAAACCTAGATAGCAATTTATTAACAAATTAACCTGACTACAACAGAGCACCAAAATGTTTTAAATTTACATGCACCCTCTCCTCGCTTATCAACATAGTTATGTTCCAAAGACCAGATTGTCATATGAAACCGACATGTGAAAATGGAGCATAACCAATTCAGATCACAAAAGGACGAATGACAACATTATTACACAACTGCCAAATTACATTACTATCTAACTATCAAAGCATGGTCCGGCCAATGTGACATATAACTAACCATCACAACCAGTGTTATATTTCCTCACACCTCAGCATTCGTTACTTACAAATACATCATTAAATAGTCTGAGAAAAGTTTTCTACTGTTGTAAACACAAAATGTCAGATAATGAGATAGTCAATAAGAAATTAACAATTGTAAATGCAAATATCATACAAGGGGGCTTCAAAAAGTTTGTGGAAAAATGGAATGAAAAGATAATGGAATTTTTTCCATGAATGTTTTGAAGCCCCTTCGTATCTCAAAATTGCTAGAATGCTCCACATTTTTGGTTTACTTTCTAATTAACAATAGCACTAAAGGTATATAACTAGCAAAGACTGAATGTACAAAATAATTCAGTGAGAGAAAAAACATTATTAAATGAAAACTAGATGCACAAGAAGCAAAAGTTCCTTTTTTTAACTTAAAACTTTACATTTAAGGGTTAAGTCTAGGAGCTACACACATACACACAAAGCTAGGAAAATTAGAAGTCTTGCCTCTTTGATAACAGAATCTTATACTCCCATTGCAAAATTTTCTAAAACTTTACAAATTTTCAAGTTTCACTAGCCACTCATACGTAGGAGTGCTTGGTTCTGGAAGAAATCAGGAACTGTTAAGTAGAAAAGCAGGTTTTGTCTCAGAACTAAAATGTCAAAAGATCTTAACCATATGCTCTCTAAAAACTATTCTAAAGAATATCAAACCCACAAAAGCTGGCCATTTGTGCTATGTCATTTTTTTTCCCCCTCCACTACATGAGCTCTGGTAGCGTAGTGGTTATAAATCAGGCTGCGAAGCGCAAGGTCAGCAGTTCGAAACTACCAGTTGTTTCATGGAAGAAAGATGAGGCGTTCTGCTCCCATAAAGATTTACTACCTCGGAAACTCTGTACAGGGTTGCTAAGGGTCAGAACCAACTCCACTACACACAGCCACCAACAACAACACACTACATGAACTCCTGGTGAGGTTCTGTAGAATCAGCACTAAACTTTGAACTATAAGGTCAGCAGTTCAAATCCACCATCTGCTCCTCAGAAATCCTATACAGGGTCACTGTATGAGTTAGAACTGAGGAGACAGTATTTAACAACAACATAACTACATAATTTAAGAATTTTAAGATTCTTTATTCTCTACCTCCATCCTCCAAATACTCATTTGGTCTAAGATAGTTAACTCTATTGTTGTTGTTAAAAGTGCTGTGAAGTCGGTTCCTACTCACAGCGACCCTGTATAGGGTTTCCCAGGAATGGCTGGTAGGTTTGAATTGCCAACATTGTAGTTAGCAGTCCAGTGCTAATCCTACCATCCTACCATAACTCTGTAGTAAGATTAAACATTTGGGGTGAAATGTACTAATTCCCATCACTTTAGCATACAATGGTTAATACTTAAAATAGTAAATAAAAGCCTAGTAATGTGGGCAAAAGGCGGACTCAGTGGAAAACAGAAAGGAAGGCAATTCAAACTCATCAGCTGCTCCTGATGATGTGGCAGTCTGCTTCTGTAAGAATTACAGCCCAGGAAACCATATGGGACAAGTTCTACTCTGTTCTACAGGGGCTGTATGAATTGAAATCGATTTAATGGTAATGGATTGGTTTTGTTGTTGTTTTATTTTTAAGGTGGGTAAATTAATCAGACATGGGTATTGGAGCAAATAGGTTTTAGGCAGAATTTTGATTAATACTGAGCTATCAATCTATTCAAGAATAAGAAATATTCCATAAAAATATTAGTGAAGGACCAATATGAAAAGAAATCTAAAGGTTAAAAATATTATTTTGCAATTTAAAAATCGTTCTAGTTTGTGATATCTTTGTTCCACAGTTTGATGAACCCTCTCCATGAATCTTAGACAACCAAAAGCACATTTAAACCATCATCTCTAAATCAGATACTTAAAATATATTTTATTATTATTTAAAAATTATATTCTTCAGAGCAGCAGACGCAAGTTCAACAGGAAAGCCATTGTTTTGTGTAAAGGGGACAAAATGCATTTTCTTTTTATATTCAACAAAGGTCTATTATTAGTCTCTTTTCAGGCTTAGCCTATGTTAGAGAGTTTTCTGTAAAGGAAATAGCAACTGGACCACAAAAGTGTAACACAAACCAAATGCCTCTTGAATTATGTTCTAGGAATCTCAGTTTAGTCCATTATAATACAATCAAATTATATATAATCTCTCCCTTCCCTTTTAAATGTAGATTAACATATTCCTATTTCCTTACACTTATAAAATTAGTCATGAAAACACAAACCATGACTTACAAATATATGTCTTCAGTATATTATCCTTCAAAGTGCTACTCTACTCATGGGGAAAAAGATCTAGTCGCTCTCGTTTTTACCAAAAACTGGATGATTAATTGAAGAAATAATTTTAAGCTGAAAGGATCAAAATTCACTAATAATACTACTAAAGTAAAAAATCACTTTTCTTTCTTACTAGGTAAAATCATCGGGCCACTTGTTAGAGAGGAACAAACATGCTAATAAGAATGGCTGAATTGCTTACTATGTTTCATTACTGACCACAGTTTTGCAAAGAAAGCAATCATATTTGAGCTGAGATACACTAGACTCAAGAATCAAATACAGAACTGTTTATATGATAGATTTTCTCCTAGCAATGGTTTCAATCATAAGTAGAACTTTATAAGCATCTACTACAGGTTGCCTTTCACCAAATTAACAATTGCAAAACATCAATGATAATTAAATTACATTTTATGTAACTGAGTTCATAACACTATTTCTCTAACATTTGGGTAAATTAATATTTTTTCCTAATAAAAATTTTTAAAAAAAGGCCTGTAAAACAAAATTATATAATCACTTGTTCTCAGTGTTTTGGTATTACAGCTGTATGAAAACAGCTTTAAAGTAACCCACACTTTTGAGTTACTTCATTTTAAATATGCTTTCATAAGACAAGAATATATCTTTCTGAGTCAACGTCCTGTTAACAGGACAAGTGACTACTTTGTTTTGTTAACATTTATCATATTTATCTTGACTAAGATGAATACTCTAGGTCCAATATTACTGAATTATGTTCTATAGAAAAGCAAGTATGCAGATGTTTTATTTCAGTTGGTCCTTAATCAAAGGTTCAAAAAGTCTTGCCTTTTTTAAAAAATAAAAATAAATTATAATTTTGTCTAATGGCATCTTGAAAAGTTTAAAGAAAACATTATTTTTCTCAAGAAGGAGTATGGGGCTGTGTGTCAGGTGACTCAAGTGCTTGCCCAGTGTTTGACTCTAACAACCTAAGTAACTTGAAGCAACTCATGTGATTTAGTCAATAGTAGTAAGCATTTGTTGTTGTTGTTAAGTGTCATCGAGTTAGTTCACACACATAACAATCCTATATAGGGTTTCCAAGGAGCAGCTGGTGAGCGTTTATAAAGACCAAAATTCAAATTTGACCCATGCCATTTACTAGCTTAATCGTTTCAAATAATTATCTGGGATATCCATCTCAGTTTTCTGAACTGTAAAATAAAGGTGAAGATGCCTATCTCATAGGACTTTATAATGATTCAATAAGATCCTAGGTAAAGAACCAAAATTATCAAACCCACTGCGATTAAATCAATTTTGACTCATAAGTGACCCAAAATACAGAGTAGACATGCCCACAGGGTTTCCCATGGCTGTCACTCTTCATGGAAGCAGAATGCCACATCGTCCTCCTGCAGTAGGGCTACTGGATTTGAGCATCTGACTTGTGGTTTGTTTGTAGCTGAGCACCAAACCACTGTACCACCAAGGCTTCCTTGTAAGGAAAAACCAAACCCACTGCCATCGAGTCCATTCCAACTCATAGTGACCCTGGATGGGGTTTCTGAGACGTAACTCTTTACAGGAGTGGATAGTCTCATCTTGCTCCTGCAAGGTTGAACCACCAATCTTGAAATTAGCAGCCTAACCCATAGTGCCACAAAGACCTCTGCAAATAGTAAAGTAGTAAGGTTTAACATCAGGAGATCCCTTTCCTGTCATCTTCCTGGATTCTAGCAGTGCAGCCCACTCCAAGTCAGGGACTGATATAAAAGAGAATATTACATCCTTCAGAGAGATGGTGAAGATTTATCACTGTAAACTAACTATTAAATATTATAAAGTAAAGCAGAAATGCTTCCTCATCTGTAAAGTGAGAAAAACTGCAAATTGAATTCAAGATCCCTTTCTATACTAATAGTTTATTATTCTATAATACCTTGCAAGTTTTAATCTTAAAAGAAAAAAACACTCAAATGTTATACATACATATATATATATGACTTATTTTTACTGTCAAAGACTGTCAGTTAAATACTTCTTTTTACGTTAACCTAAGTCTGTTACGTAAAGATCAAATAACAGAACTTAGTGGTTAATTGGGTTTTCAAGTAATCGATGTTCAAATACATGTCATGAATTAGTTAAAATTATATTGCCAACATTATGGACTCAATCCTTCCTTTCAAAAAACATATACTTAACCTAAGAGAAAACTTATGTGTCAAGTATCTAATTGGTTTCAGATTATTTTAACTCCAGCCCGTAAATTTAATAGTAAAGAATGTTGAAGCTTAAAGGCTTAAAACAAATAAGAAGATACATTAGTTAAATCAGCACTCAGTGTGAAGACAGGACTAAGTAAGGGCAGTCACTAAAACTTCAGTCATGTTTTTAAAAAAATTATATACTTATTCAATAATAGCATTATTTAATATGAATTAATTTATGGGATGAGAAGGCACAGAACAATCACAGAACAATCTGTATACAAATAAACATAGATAAAAGTCTTTCCTCCTACACTTAAGTGCTAGAAAATTTCCCCTCACACCTGTAAGAACTGCTTTTTGAGTAGGATCATTTGGTTTTGCGATGAATCATTCACACTACTCATTTATGGTTCCAAAGTTACCACAATGTATTCAAAATAAGCTATTCAAGAACATGAAAGTCACCCAGGCAAGCTATCAAGAATTAGAAAACTCAAGAGTAGAGATTTACAAGTTTTAGACATACTGAAATGGTTTACAGAGTCTATAAAATAATTTATATAAAGCAAACTGATTTTTACTTGAGAAATAGTGTCTGGCTCCTTTTTTTTTTTTTTCTTTCTAATAAACACAAGATAGCCAGTTTCATTTTCATAGGACTGAATCAGTCCCTATGAAATCCTCTCCCCTCCCCACCTCCCATGTTGTTGTTGTTGTTGTTGTTAAGTGCCGTCGAGTCGGTTCCGACCCATAGGCTGTCAAATGAGCCTGGCAACTTTTTGCTGCTAACAGTTCTTACCTCCTGCCTCATAGAGACTAGAGACAGCTTCATGTCTGCAACATTGTCACATTTTCTCCTACCTAGCTATCCCAAAATCTTTGCTGGCCATTAATCTTCTAAAACTTGGCTTACTGAGAGACAGAGAGCTCACACTTAAATTTACAGGCTGTTTTCACAGGAAGAAAACTCCCAATAGTAATGAAACCTCAACGGAAAAGGGTTTAAAAAAATAAGTAACAACCCAACAGCATGTGATCTAAAAGTTTGCTGCAATAAGATTGTTCTCTTCATTTGTCAATATCATTCAAAGCATGCTTGAGAGAAGAGGAAATTAAAATAACACGCTATTTCCCTTCTTTATTCATTGTTCTATAAACTTTCTTTAAAGTTCCCCAAGGGATAGAAACAATTCTAAGTTTTTATCCGTATTTTAAATATATCTGAAGAACAAGGATTCATTACTCTCAAAATTCCCCATATTTACAACTGCAACTATGGTGACTATATACTCTTTATAAAAAAATAAAATGAAATAAAAAATCACAGTATTCTTCAACCACCAAAGCAAAACACATACTCTTGCACTTTAATATATGTTCACTTCAACATTACATTATTAATTATTCTTGTCAGCAGAAGGAACATATTTATATAGAATGCTTATGTATATAGAGAATCCTGGTACGGTACTGTAGGATAAGCACTAGACTGCTAACTGAAAAGTTGGTGGTTCAAACTCAACAGGTGCTCCTTGGAACCCTCTACAGGGTTGCCATAAATTGGAACTGAGTTGATGATACTCAACCACAACATTAAGCAAAGTTTAGATCGAAACAAAATAAAAAAGGAATTAAGCAATGAAATGGCTTTTCAAATTTTCAATGTTCCCAAGCCTCCCCTGCAGGTACATAAAATCTTTACATTGATTCCAATCCTTTGCCAAAACCTACCCTTCAAAGGCTTCTTCAGTTATCCTTATCACTGAGATCTGTTAAGAGAATCTTGCCCTAAAGTCCATAGCAATTCAGTAGCAGAAAGTACTCGAATCCCTATTTGATTTCAAAACCTGTGTTTTTCACTATTATGCAACAATGAATTGAGTTTGAATATACTCCTCAGGGCTTTCTTAGGCATCAAAAATCTTAAACTGAGAGAGAAGAGGGTTAAAGTTCAAATATCAGCTAGCTGATGACAGAGGATCCAGAGAAACTGATGGTATCACACAGTCCTAACTCCTTGGCTGTAAAGTGCAAAATGAAAAAAGTTGGAAAGTCAAAACTAGAAGGGTGAATTTTTCTAGTATAATTTACTAGTGACTTTTCATTTTATAAACATTTTTGTCAAGTTACAAACATGTTTTGTTAGGGATCAACCCTATATCACTACTTGAAAATCCCAATAATTTTTTACTTACCTCTTCCATTTCGAAAGAGTCCTTCTGCTGTGCCATTATATTTCTGATGGACGGGTTAGTCAGTGGTACACATGGCTCTTTTTCAGATGTACACATATGGGTATCTTGCAGCTCACTGCTATCTTCTAGCTCATTGTGGCTGGACATGTTGAAATCACTACTTAAATCAGATTCTACAACACCAGGTTCCTCACCCAGTCTATTCTCATTACATTGAGATGCTTTACTTTGTTCGCTTACAGTTTCTTGGTTAAAGTTACTATTTGCTTCATGAGAAAGCCTATCAGTGTCAGTGTTCTCCATCACAGCTGCTGAACTACCTGCTGCCTCTTCTTTAACTGTAGCCAACAAGAAAGATGAGTCTTTCTTCTTCATAATTTTTTGAGACTTTTGATCATTTTTATTAACACCCTCTTCAGTTGCTGTGGCCTTCAGAACCTTCCCTTTTTCAGCTCCTGGGGAAGGACTACCACCTTCTCCTTTCTCTGTTTTATCAACACATAAATTTAGTTTTGATAGTGTTTTCATTAAGCGATTTGCAGTGTTACTTCGTGTTAAAGGTGGAGGTGAGTCAGTCTCCTTGTTTGAGGTCACCGAGGACACACTTCCAATTCTCTGCAAGGGAGTTCCAGAGACTTGGGAATACAATGAAGAAAACACATTGGCCACAGTAGTAAGCACTTCAATTTGACGAAATCGGCCTACAAGAGAAAGAAGTATACACACACACACGTATATGTAAAGCATTACTGCTTTGAATTCTAATAAATGAACTTAGATCACGAAGATTATAAACAAGATTGTTTTCCTTCTCTAACACTTGTACCCTTTCTACACTGACTTGTGGTGGGAGACAGAAGTTTTACTCTTAGAATTTACATTTTAAAAAAACAGAAATCAGCACAAAGCATAAGGACAACACTAAAATGAAACAGAAATGACTAATTACTGATCTACAACTGTGATTCTGTTTAGTTCTCCCACCCCATTACAACTCTTCTAAATGCTCTCCTAAGGACATGCACATAAATTTGTACTGTATACCTAATTTGGGGGAGTCATAGACCTCTCCTCAGGGACCTCAGCTTGGGAAACTCTGGTCAACAAGGAAAAAAAACAACAAACAAAAACCACAAGCAAAGATAGGAGTAGTTGTTGCTGTTGTTAAGGGCTGTCAATTCCGAGTTGAGTCCTAGTGAACTTGCCTATAGTTTTACAGAGAAGCTGGTGGATTTGACCTGCCAACCTTGTGTTTAGTAGTCCAGTGCTTATTCTACAGCACCACACATAAAAAAAAAAAAAAAAAAAAACAAATTACCCAAGCTCAGTTATATTAAAATCACATGAAATTGGCAGACTTCATTTAAGGTTTACGAGGTCCCTTCCCTTTTTGTTTCCTTCTTGGGTAACAACAGTCTAGAGATAAGTATATGTACTGTTGTTGTTGTTGTTAAGTGCCGTCGAGTCGGATCCGAGCCATAGCGACCCTATAGAGGGTTTCCAAAGAACGACTGGCGAGCTTGAACCGCCGACCTTGCAGTTCAAATGGCTTTGCAGTCTGGCGCATTAGCCCACAGCGCCACACCAGGACGCTAAGTATATGTATAAGGCATGGCAAATAAGTTATGATAACACTTAAGTAAGGAACTGAGGGGAGTGGGAAGGGCAGGCCTCTATAAATAGAACAAAAATTTATATTAAGTAAAACACTATGGGTTGAAGAGACAAGTTTGGGTTTTTTTGTATGACATAAGGCATCCTTTTGTAAGACATCCTTTTATGTGATTATTTTCAATGTAATTACTTATCGTTCCAGTATTATTTCTGAAAACCAGTAAGGCTTTAAACTATCTTGCCATGTATAATTTAAAAAACAATCGACTGACACTTAAAAACCTTACTTGTTAAAGCATAATTTGGGTTTTCTACTTCCATCCGTTGCATTTGCGCACTCAAAAATACTTTAATATCTATCCCTCTGGCAAATGATGATGAATTAAAAAATCTTGATGGAATTTTAGAAGCAATATCTGGTTCATCCCGTCCAAATCCAAGATTATAAAGAATTTCTTCAGGATCTTCTTCATAAAGTTCCAACAGTTCTGAAACACTACAAAAAAAATAATAAAATAAAGACATCAAAATATAAAAGAGTTTTATGGTCCATAGCACAATATAAATGAATACATATTCTTGCTTTCTCTGATAAAAATCTTTTTCTACAGCTTCAGCTCTTCAAACCATTATTTATTTCAACATCTTTATATTTTGTGTACCAAGTGGGATATTTAATCCTTTAAAAGAGTTCTTACATTATGATAAGAAAAAGAACATAATAAATAAGAGAAATCTACATTAATCATCACCTTAATTTTCTAGTCATTGTAAGAGATTGCCAGTGTAGCAGCTAAAATAATTAGAGAACACGGAATAAATAGATTAAAGAAGAGAATAAATGAGAAAATACTCTAGGAAGTAGATGGAACTTTGGTACTAAGCCACGTTGGACAGAACGTAAGCTTTTCTGCTGTCTAGCTTAGAAGAAGCAACACAGAACAACCTGATCTCAGGGAACTGAGGGAGGAGCTTACTTGCAATTTTCCTCTAACCACATCCACACAGGAAGTAGGAGGAGTAAGGTAAAGAGAGCAGGGGAAACTTAAAGGTAACTTCTTACCGAAATTCTACTGGGAATTAAACAATTGTTACCTGTCCCTCTCAAATCAGTGCTAATCCCAACTCTCTCAAAGTAACTGAGGAAAATGGAACATTAGATATGGAACTTGAACAGAAGAAAATTTCAATGTATTTCAGGGATAATGCTCATATTCTAATACAATAGCTATTCCAAAAGTTAAAACTGGTTCACAGGCACGTTTACTGCCTCACTTTAACATGTATTTTATACGTTTGGTTTAGTCTGTTGCAAACGTGTCCTCACCTAGCAAGCTTCCTTTTACAAAGTTTTATTCAATATTTAGGTCAGAGTTGACTCAAATCCTAACAAATGTAGAACTTTTGCCATCTACAAGAAGAGGTTACTCCACTATGTAGTTATTCTTTCAAATTATTCTTAGGACTCCAAATATACTCATTACTGGGCTCCAGCAGTCTTATTCACTACTTGCTGCTTTTTATTTAATCTCAATTAAAAAAAAAAAAAAGATGCTCTGGTCAGTTATGCATGTCTTCTGATTTCAAAATGGTAGTAGATAATTTATAACACAGTGCTGTGATTCTGCCAATTTTACAAAACTATAATACAAATTTATAGTAAGTTACCTTGAGACTGTCCCACTACTTTTCCCAGATCCAGTGGAATTCATACTTCTCCCTTTCTGATGAAACTGCAGTCTTCTCTCTTTGGCCAATATATTATTGCTATAAACACAATCAGATTATATAAAATTGTATTTTCAAAAACACTCTTCAATTTACACAAGAAACAGAACAATCATTGCTACTTACCAGTTTTCAATTTGAGCATCACTTTCATGGAGGTGGTTGGCTACAGTTAAAAATAAAAGCATAAGACAATTGTCAGAAGGACTGTAAAACTCTAGACAGTCCCCAAGTTACAACAGATCTCTTCCTAAATGTGTCTCTAAGAATTTGTAGGTCAGCTGGAACAGGTGTATATGGTTTTATGTAGTCTTAATTTAGTGCAAGAAAAGACTAGAAGCCTTTCCAATCATTTAAAAGCTGCATGGAAAGGTAGTTGAAAGACCCTGCGGTTAGCATCCAATGCATAACCCAACTATGACACCCAGAGCACCCTTTAAAGTGACAACAATATACATTAATTTACAATTTTTTAAGGTTGAAAAGTTGCTCCAGTTATAATCAATTTTTTATGTCAGTATTTTAAAAAGTTATACTTATTATGTTTCCTTTAAAAAAATTACCTTTCAATTTTAACTTAGGTTAACAGCTTCTAAACTAATAAATGTTATTAATGTTAAGTTTAGAATAAACTATATTTAACCTTTGTAGACAAATATAAAAAATAAAAATAAAATACAGTATCTCTATTCCATCACACTTACTACATATAAATGATGGGAAGTTCATGGGAAAATTCCATTATCTATTAATTTCACTTTTCCATGAACTTTTTGAAGCCATCTTTGTATGTGTGTGTGTTTTTAGCGCTGATCAGTAAAGTTACGGTAATTTCTTATGTTTTTTTGTTTGTTTGTTTGTTTTTGTACATCCAGAGCCTAAGAAGGTACCTAATATATCCCAAAACTAAACCACACTTGTCATCAAACAGAGTCCAATTCATGTTGGTCCTACAAGACAAAGTACAACTGCTCCAAAGAGTTCCTATCTTTCCCTTAGAGCAGCTGGTGGGCTTGAACCACAAACCTTGCAGTTAGCAGCCCAACATTTAACCCCCTACACCACCAGTGCTCCTTGTAAACACATATTGTTGTTGTTAAGTAGCATCAAGTCAGTTCCAACTCATAGCAACCCTTTGCAGGGTTTCTGAGAAGTGGCTGCAGTTGAAACCAAACTTGCAGTCCAGCGCATGAGCCTGCAACCTGCAGTGTCAGGCCAAGACTACTGCATAACACATATTGTATGGTTACGCTGTAAGTGCCATCGGGTTAGTTCTGACTCATAGCAAGCCTGTATAGGGTTTCTAAAGAGTGGCTGGTGAGCTTGAACCAACAACCCTGTGGTTCAAAACAACTTGGCATTCTAACGCATTAACCCACAGCGCCACATTAAGACTCTGCCTAACAACATAGCACTCATTACATACTTACTTAATTAATGAAAATAGCTTTGAAATAATTCTCATTAATAGCATGATAGCACCACACTATCATGAGGCTACCTTTCAGGTTCTGGTTTCCAATGAAATTATTCAATTCTATGAAGCTACCAAAGCAGGCATCAAAAATTGTATTTATAGCAATATTGTTGTTGATGCTAAGGGCTGTCCAGTTGGTTCCGCCCCATAGTGACACTGCATATGGTTTCCAAAGAGCAGCTGGTGAGTTTGAACTGCTGACCTTACAGTCGTTCAAACCGACCTTTCAGTCCAGTGCATTAACCCGCAGAGCCACACCAAGACTCCACAGCAGTATTGAAATGCACTTAAAAAGGGGTTGAGAACATTTCAACTATAGTGAATGGGAAACTATAAATTTAAGATTTTAACAGTGTTTAATCCTTGAAAGTCTATTAACAGAAGTAATGAAAACAGCTATATTCAGGTATTATAGACTTTTCAATGTTCAACTGAAACAAAGCAAACCCATGCTGCCAATTCAATTCTGACTCATAGCCCTGGTTAAGCAGTGGTAGAATGCTCAGTTGCTAATCAAAAGGTCAGCACTGGAACCCACCCGCCGCCCTCTGATGGGAAAAGATGTGTCAGTCAGCTTCCTTAAAGATTACAACTTTGAAAACCCTATAGGACAGCTCTACTTTTTCTTAGACAATTGCTATGAGTTTTCAATGCTAGATGGTTCTAAATAATTTACCTTCCAGGTTGACTGAAAACAGCAAAAGAGTTAAGGATGTTAAATTCAGTGATTCACTAGTTAGCAACTTATCACTTAAAAATCCTTAATTCTTTAACATGTATAGTAAAAACCCAGTATCCAATAATCTATTCAACCTAAGGGACAAAACACACTCAAAGAGTTACAGAATAGTTTTTAAGACACCACTAAAGGAAACATTGCTGGGAAAGCTTGTCCACAGGAAAAAATGATAAAATCTGTGAAAGTTTAAACACAGAATAATATACTTTTAAAATGCCCAAATCTGGGATAGACACAAGCATTGGAATGCCTAATTAAATTCTCCTAACTCTGTTTTTGTCTTAGTCCTTTAATCTTCTAAAATCAGAGGAAAAGGGAAGGGGAAAAAGGCACTAGACGCAAAGAGAAAGACAAGCAACAACTTAAGTATGAATTCAGGTTATCTCACACTAAAAACAAACTTCAATTTCGTTTTTTATGTATAAATATTTAAGCTTCCTTCCTTCTACGGCACAATTCTTTCCTCAGTTATATCACCATTGTATGCCCATTAAGTCCAAAGAAGAGCTATATGGAAGTTTCCTACTGGTTTTCAGAGTCAACCCTACACGAATTCTACTGGTGGACTTTATTAACAAATAAAAGGATGGTACTATGAAATGTATCAGAGCCATTTTCAAGACAATTAAATTTATCTCTGAAGATCCTAAACCTGAAAGTACTCAAACTTTCTCAGTTTTCCACACCATTATAAATGAATGATCTGTAAATACAATTCATTTACACAAACCTTCAGCTCCCAAGGACAAATCATCTTCAAAACTTCCTCCATTTCTCACAAGCACACCTGAAAAAGACATGTGAAAATTTAGAAAATTTATCTTGATATTCTATTCTTTTCCATCCCCATATAAAATCTTTGTTTTAGTTAAAACAAACTGACAAGCAAAATATTTTATAAGACATAGTGAGCTATTTCAGTGCCTTAATGTACTGGGAAATTATTCTAGATCTACAATTTCAAGAAGCCATACTTAGCCAGGTAAGTTCTCAGAAGCTGGTCTACAGGCAATTTTATATTTCTAATTCCTTTACAGATGATTAATTAAATGACATATCTTAACCAAGAATTTCATGGAAAACCAGATCCTGGAGCAATCATTCCCTTACCCCCCTCATATTAAATCAGGATAGCTTAAGCTAGATTTTCCTGATACTGTAAATGTTTTTTCTATGCCTTGCCACTACCTGCACATTCTTGTTGTACTTTGAACTTTAGATTTCTGTCTTGCGCAGGTGGTAAACTTTCAGGTGTGGCAATTTGAGTTAATGTAAGCAAAGAAATGTTGCGCTAAAACTGACCTAGTTCACTCAATATATATTTCCCTTATATTTATCTAGTGCATTTCTGTATTTAGCTAAACTTTGTAATATCTAATTGGGCAAAATAAGAATGTAAGTTTCACGTTTTAGAAAGGGTACTGATCAGGGTCCCCCCTTTTGGCTTCTAGCTCCAAACACCATCAATATAAATATCTATCATTACTTAGAGGACAAATGAAGTAGGGTTCTCGCAAAGAAGAGATTAGAAAGCCAACTTTCTCTTACCCTTGAGTGTACTGCTGCTTTGCTCATCCAGTGAGGCTCCCAAAGGGGTACTGAAACCACATACACATAAATGCCTTAGTTTTGAAAAACTATCTCAATTGTGGCTATACAGCAAGCTTTTAATCACAGTTTAACTCTCCTCCCCAAAACACACAAGGAATGTAAGTGGATTACATAAGCAACACACTACTAACTAAGCAAATACCTATCCTTAAGTCAGTTCACCAGGAATGATTTACTCACACCTCTGATTTGTACACAAATAAAAGCAAGAATGGTGATTATAAATGATACGAATCGACATTTTCTTTTCTAAAGGAATAGAGAATTGACAATAAGCATTAAGAAAAATTCAATTAAAACAAGAGTTTCCCTTTCCATCCCATCCCAAAAACAGAATCAGAGAAAAATAGAAGAAATCTTCAGTATGAGATAACCTAACTTTAATAAAATAAAATGAAGAAGTCAGAGTCTATTTAGAAGTAAAGCTCAAGTTTCCTCAAACCTCATCTGTTTCTGCATCATTGGCATTTCAGAACAGAACTTTTTTTTTTTTAATCACTTTTTGTGTTTAAACTAAAAACTATGCTGTTGTTGTTGTAGGTAGTATTCATTCAAATATAAAAACAAAATAACTAAAAAATCAGCCTGACAACCAACATTAAGAACAATTTGGCCATTGTTAAAATTCTTTTACATTCTTACAGTTCAAACAGAGATCATTTAGAAATGTGTCATTTTTTCTTAAATACAAAAATACTTTTCATTTGTTTCTCAAAACTAAGGTATAGTAAAAAAAAAAAAACACTGTATTATGTTGATAGTTTTATTTTACAACAGAAACTTTTCTTAGGTAACAATTTAAACCTGTTACAAATTTGTATTAGACCTGAGTTTAATCAGGAAATATTATTGGAATACCATTAAATGTTAAATATTTGTGTTGGCAGCATATACAAATAGCAGTTCTTTGAAAATAAGTGCATTTAAAATGTAAAAGTAGGCCATCACCATAAAGATAGTACTAAATCTTTAAGCTAAGTTTTTGCGTATATTTTGGCACCTAACAACTTATGCCTTTAAAACTGTTCTCTTGATGGCTACTTTCTTAGGTCAAAACACTGCATTCTCCTTTTACAGATGTCTGTGCAGCTCTGTGCACGAATGAAATAGCAAATAAACAGAATATAACTTGTATTCTTATATTCTTTTTCAAAACAAGTCTCTTCTTAAACTGATAGTTACTCCCTTCCAAATTCTATCGAAAATTCTATTAGCTATTAGATGCTAATTCAAGCCATTTGTTTCTACTTAGCCAAAAACAATCCATGAGAATGAAGACTCTCTTTAAGGAAAGACACATAAAAATATGGTATCATTATTCAAAATATGGGAAATAATTAGAAAACAAATAATATTTGAGAATTTATCAAAGGATAAAATATTCCCCAGTTCATTAGGTTGTTAATGTACAAAAAACACAGATGCAAAACTCTTGCAGTAAACCTAAATTGCTACCATTAAATATATCTCCTAGTAGTCAAATTTATGACAATACAGCCAACTTTAAAAGACTACTTGTTCTGGCTATGCCGAGTACAAATGAATGTAATCTTTGTGTAGAATAGGTACAACAGTAGGGAATAAGAAGGCAACTTTTGAGGAAGCAGTAACAGAATCCAAAATCTGTCTTCATAAATCAAGATTAAACAACATAAAATTTCAAGAATAATTGAGTCCTGGTGAAGACCAACATTCACCTGTTGTATTTATCTTAAAAACTGCACTTTAAAAATTCATTTATATACTGCCTACTTCATATGATCTAAATTCCTATGCATCATAAACCTATTATGATTCTTCTCTTGCTCTTAATTTTTAAAATTCCTCTGAACACATACTTGCCTTTACACAATAAAAACTACAAACGTATTTAGAATTCTGGATCTATTTTAAGATACCAAGAGTAAGCCGATACTGTGCTTAGTACTGTACTGAAATCAAGACTAAGATTGAAGGTTTTCAAAGGCCAGAGTAAAAGTAATAAAACAGCCTTTTCAGACACATTCTAAAAGGAAATTTAAAAAGTACAGGTTTCACAGAATCTCTCCTAAAGGGTCCTAAATATGCTTATGTAGTGCCAACCTTTTCATTGTCCCATTCATTTTGAAATTTAGCTAGCAAATAAACAATTGGAACACTATTATGATTTCTTGATCCAACGCTTGGAGTGGAACCACTAAACCATATTCTCCTAGATTAAAAGAGAGGATTTAACTGTCAATCTGGGATTCAAGGATTTCAAACAGTATGTATATTTGTGTCTCTTCATCTCTGGAGAGAACCAAGCCCTTTGCCATGGAGTCATTTCCAATTCCTAGTGACCCTATAGGACAGTGTAGTATCCCATAGCATAGGATGGATAGTTCTACACTGTCCTTGTGTAGCACTGTAGGATAAGCACTGCTGACCACAAGTCTGGTTGTTCAAACCTACCAGATGCTCCTTAGAAACCATATTCAGGGTTGCTTTGAGTTGGAACTTATTCAAATTTAACACGTAACAACAAAAAGGGGCTTCCAAGTCAATAAATCCTTACGGAAGCATACTGCCACATCTTCCTTCTGCAAGTGGTTGGTGAGTTCAAACTGCTGACCTTTTAGGTTATTAACCTAGCACTTTAAACACAGCACCACCAAGGAAGATCCCTGTATTTCATTGTATCTCAGAGCTATGACAGAGCAAATAAACTCTATGGAATTCTAAAGTGAAGGATGATCAGTAAGGTTGCTGTAAATTCAACAAAACAAGATACTAATATAGTTATGATTGTTGTTGTTAAGTGCTGTCAAGTCAGTTTCAACTGATAGTGACTCTGTATAAGTTTTCTGAGGAGCAGCTGGTAGGTTTGAACCACCCAACTTGTGATTAGCAGTCAAGTACTTAGCCTATAGTGCCACACCAGGACCTACCATATAGTAGTGTTTTTTTGTTGTTAAATGCCATTGAGTTGGTTCGGACCCATAGCAACCCTGTATAGATAGGGTTTCCAAGGAGCGACTAGTGAGCTTGAACCACCAACCTTGTAGTTCAAACGGCTTTGCAGTCTGGCGCATTAACCCACAGCGCCACATCAGGACTCAAACTATAGTAGTGGCTAATATTTAATCTTTGTTGTTGTTAAGTGCCATCGAGTCGTTTCTAACTCTTAACTACCCTGTATATGGTTTCTGAGGAGCAGCTGGTGAGTTTGAACCATCAAGCATGCAGGTCAGTGCTTAACCTACAGCACCACACCAGGACTCCAATATGTCTTTAGTGGAGAAAGATAAACTGATTAATATGAGAAGCACTTAACAAACAAACAAAAAAAGACTTCCTTGACTCTGATACTTGAACAAAATATTAAGAAGAGCCTAGATTGAAAAGGCAAAAGTATGCTCAGAAGCAAATGCCAACAAAAGTTAAAAAATAACAATCTTCATGTGGAATTTAACAACTCGCAAATAAATTGGAGAAAACAAAATATGAAACAAGCACATTTAACTGTAGTCCAGTTTACCAGCAGTATGATTCATTCCCTCTGTATTTTATCAAACATTTTTGTGCCAGTTGTGAAAGCATGTAATTAAACAGATTTATACAGACTGAATGCCTTCAAAGCTCTATTTCTTTTCTGTGAATTCCAGTGCCATCTGACAAACCCATGGCCATGAAGCAAACCACAAGAACAAAGTTAGCTAGTTTTAATAGCTCCCCAAACAGAATTAAGGCACAGAAATGAAATTACAGTCCAGCTAGTGTAGTTACATAAATTAAACTCCTCAGCAACACATAAGAAAGGAAAACGATTTGATGCCAGATGCAAAAGCAAGATAAAACACCCCACGAAATGTTAGAGTCCTTTCAAATAAAAACAAAGCACATATAGCATTATGATCTGGTGTAAATTTCTGATCTCTGATGTTAACATCTCCAATGGGTAGCTGAAGTTCTTCAAGGGTAAAATCAAACACCACTCACCCCCCACTGCCATTAAGCGGATTCTGATTCACAGCAAGCCTGTAGGGCAGAGTAGAACTGCTCCATAGGGTTTCTGAGGTAGGTTTGTTTTGCAGATTTTCAGTCAAGCAGCCCAATGCTTACTTCACTACTTCACCAAGAAGGCTCGTTAAAATCAACCCCAAAACAAACAAACAAAAAACCAGTGCCATCGAATGGATTCCAACTCAGCAACCCTGTTTAAGGTTTCCGAGTCTGAAATCTTCATAGGAGAGTCTGTAAAATCTTTCTCCCATAAAGCTGCTGGTGGCTTCGAACCGCCAAGCTCTCAGTTAGCAGTCCTGTGCTTATCCTACAGCACCACCAGGGCTCCTTAAAATCAACATCAGCCACCAAGTAATCAACGGTCACAGTACTTCCATTTCTAATCGCTTAAAGGAGGAAGCCATCAGTCGACTCACTTTCCGGTTAATAACTTAGACCCGGCCATGGGACCCACAAGGGCAGTGGCCCTAGTCACTTAGCTCAGGCATCCCATTTGTGCGGGTCTCTCTCAGGGGGCGCGGACTGCAGGCGTGAGGACTCACCGGCAGTCCTTGAGCCATATTGCGATCTTCTCATTGGGCACGTTTCCTGCTGGAAAGAGCAGGGGACAGTTCGTTACCGATCCCAAAAGAATTCTGACTGCAGTGTCAAGCTGGATACACCCAAGTAGAAAAATTTACTGGGGACAAAATGCAACCTAAAAGCGGCATGTCTTAGTCTCCAACTGAAGGGAAATCAGGTGACACCTAGGGTGTCCCGGTTAATGCTAGAGACGGCTGATCAACCTCGTGCGTCTAAAGGTAGGAAGGGTTCCCACTTTTTGGGCTATCAATCACGGGAGGCCCTTCCAAAGCTCAAAGCAGTCACCTCGCAGCTCACCAACCCTCCCTGCACGCCAGCCAAGCCGGGCGCACCCACCTCTCTCCGCGGCAACCGGCAGCTGTGCACCGGGGAGATCTTCCTCTTCCTCGTCGTCCTCGTCTTCGTCCTGAGTTGTCGCTTCTGTGGACAGATCCTCCGTCTCCGAAGCCTGCCAGGAGCCGCGGCACTGGGCCCAGACCTTCCTCCTCCGACTTGCCACTTGCCACTCCAGTTCCTCCTCCGTCTCGGCCGATGACGCCAGGGGCCGGTCCATGGTCAAGCCTGGGGCTCCGACACCCCAGCCGAAGCCTGCGCGAGACACGGTGGCGGTGGCAGCAGGGACCCCCGCCCCTGGTGTCAGCGCCCAGACGGGCTGGGGGCCCCCCGGGGAGCAGGAGCGGGAGGAGGAGGGGACAGGGAGGGAGGGAGGGAAGGAAGGGGAGGGAGGGGGAGGAGACCCGGCGCTTCACATGAAGGCGGCCAAGTGCGGCGCGGGAGCGCCAGTGGCCGGAGCTAGAGCTGCTGGAGGGAGTGCGGGCCGCCTGCTCTCCGCCCCCAGCCTCCCGCCTCTCTCGTCTCCAGTCTCCCGCCTCCCGCCTCACGGTCCTGCCTGACACGCCCCAGGCGCTGGCCAGCCGCTGCGCGTCTGCGCACCCCTCCCTCGGCAGCATCCCACGCCCCCTTCCGGCCGGGGGCGCGGGGCGGACGTGGGCCACGGCTGTGGGGTGTGGGGTGTGGGATGGGGCAGGCTCGGAGACCAGCAGATCATCCCTCAGCTACTTGCTAGCAGAGTGGGTGAGATTTGTTTGTTTGTTAATAATCTTTTTTTCCTCTGAACTCCGCCTCCTTCCAAAAATAGAAATAAAGTGGGCAGGCCAAGTCTCACAAAACGCCCCCTTTTCATTTCAAGAAAACAAGTGTCTGCTGGGCTCCCTAAAATTTACTCTTTGAGGAGTCTCTGGTGTGTAGTATATTTTGAGAGCAAGGAATCGTGGATAAGGATGCAAGAGGCACGTGAATGCTATTTCTGACCTTGTCAAACTGTCAAAACTAGACAAGATTTAAATTTATGGAGTGCTAATATCATGTTCAGGAAAGTTATTTAGACTGGTTGTGTATATGCGAAAATGGTTTTAGAAAGAATATTTAATCTGGAAGTTTCACACTGAAGTTTTCAGAAAGGAACAAGGAACGATTTAGAATTACTTGTGTATCAGTATGCTAGATTCTGGCGCTACAAGATACAACAAAAAACAAATAGTGTAAGGTTCAGAACTATCTCAAAAATGGCCTTGATCATTCTTTTGTTATTTTTTAAATCTTAACAGCAGAAAGACTATTAACCCCTGTCCAAAAACAGATACAATGTGACATTTCAAGGACAGTGTTCCCCTAAATGTTACACCTAAACTATTCACTCATAAAGCTTCCAGAGCTTTTCTTAACCTTTTTTTTTTTTTAATTGTAATTGACTGTGAACATCAACTCACAGCGGGTATCAAGAAAAAGTTAGGCTACTTTTTAATCTTATGATTTAAAAGAACATCTTGCTCAATTATTTAAAGAAGACATTTTTTCATTATGTGAATTATTTCCAATACTGAAACCAAAGCTTGGTAAGTATTCAATGGAAGCCTTAGAATTGTGCGCCTTGGAGTCCACTTTGACTCATAGCGCCCCTCTAGGACATAGTGAAACTGCTCCATTGGACTTCCTAGGTTATAACCTTTATTGCCAAGGAAACACTGATGGGTTCCAACCCCTGTTAGTAGCTGAGCACTTAAACCAATGAGCTAACCAGGATTTTAAGTTTAGAATTGTTGTTGTTAATTGCCCTCAAGTAGGTTCCTGGTGTGGCGCTGTGGGTTAATATGCCACACTGCAAAGCCGTTTGAATTGCAAGGTCGGCAGTTCAAGCTCATCAGCTGTTCCGCGGAAACCCTATACAGGGTCGCTATGGGTCGCTATGAACCACCTCGATGGCAGTTAACAACAACAGATTCCGACCCATAGCGACCCTGTATAGGGTTTCCGCGGAGCGGTTGGTGAGCTTGAACCCCAATCCTTGCAGTTCAAGCCAAACTTGCAGTCCAGCGCATTAGCCCACAGCTCCAAAGACTCCTTGATTAGAATCACAGGGTGATTCAATGTATTGTCATTGATTGTCAATGTAGTTCATAAATTTTGGAGAATTCCGAAATCGACTGTCCTTAAGGTAGAAGGTTGTTCTTGTTAAGTATTGTTGTCAAATCGGTTCAGACTCCTAGTGACCCTGTATAGGGCTTCCAAGGAGTGCTAGAGGATTTGAACTGCTGACTCTACAGTTACCAGTCCACTGCTTATCCTACAACGCTGCACCAGGACTCCTACTTTTACAACAGGCACACACATATAAGTTGTCTTGTTTTTGTCAAGTGTTCTTGAGTCGGTTCAAGACTCCCATATATGGTATTGCTGTTGTTAACTGCCTTTAAGTGGGTTCCAATTCATAGCAACCCTGTATATGCTTTTGAGGTTGTTGTTGTTGTTGTTAAGTGCCATCGAGTCGGGTCCGACCCATAGCGACCCTGTACAGGGTTTCCAAGGGTGTAAATCTTTACGGGAGTAGAAAGCCTCATCTTTCTCCCGCGGAGTGGCTGGTAGTTTCAAACCGCTGACCTTAAGGTTCGCAGCCCGATTCGTAACCACTACGCTACCAGAGCTAGACTAGTAAAATAATCACAGAGCAAATTCCAATTCATGGAGTCCCCGTGTGTTATGGAGTAGAAGTGCTCCATAGAGTTTCCTTGGCTGTAATCTTTCCTGAAGCAGAATGCCAGACCTTTCTTCCACAGAACCCCTGAGTAATTTAAAACCACCTAATTTTAGGCTGGAGACCTTCTACTACTCAATTTTACTGCCTTTATTCTTTCTACTTCCTTTCTAGCACACTGCTTCTGATTTACAATTCCCTAAACACTTCTAAGGAGCTCTGATAGCGAAGTGGTTACGAATCGGGCTGCGAACCTTAAGGTCAGCCGTTCAAAACTACCAGCTGCTCCGCGGGAGAAAGATCAGGCTTTCTACTCCCATAAAGATTTACACCTCTGACTATGGGTCGAAACTGACTCGATGGCACTTAACAACAACAACAACAAACACTTCTAAATTAAGTCATTGCAACCCTGTATAGGGTTTCTGAGGAGTGACTGGTGAATTTGAACTGATGGCTTTGTAGTTCAAACTGACCTGTGATCCAGTGCTTACGTCATCACACCAGGACTCCAGAACACTTCTATTTCTTATTAAAATAATAAACTTACTGTTTACCAATAAATATAAGATTAAATCCCAAATCCAGACTAACTTTCAAGATCTGTCTTAACATTACACTGGGCTTGGTATAAAACTGAGAGTTAAAGAACGTTAGAGTTATGATGCCTGCCATATCTCATTTGATTGAAATTTCACTATTAGAGAAATTTTACTTTGAATCTTAAGACTTAAGACTAATATCAACCTTATACACTACAGAATGAACCACCACCCAGTCCTGCACCATTCTCACAATTGTTGTTATGTTTAAGCCCATTGTTGTTGCTTCTGTCATTCCATCTCATTGTGAGGTCATCCTCTTTTTCTGACCTTCCAACTTGACCAAGTATGATGTCCTTATCCAGCACTTATCCCTCCTGACAATATGTCCAAAGTTTGAGAGACAAAGTCTCACCCTTCTTGTTTCTAAGGAACATTCTGGCTGTACTTCTTCCAAGACAGATTTGTTGTTATTCTGATAGTTCACGGTACTTTCTATATTATTTGTCAATATAATAATCCAAATACATTGATTCTTCTATGGTCTTTTTTACTCATTGTCCAAATGTCAAACACGTATGAGGTGACTGAAAATGCTATTGCTTGGGTCAGGCACACCTTAGTCCTCAAAGAGATATTTTTGCTCTTGAACACTTTTGCAGCTGATTTGACGAATGCAATATATCTTTTGACTTGACTGCTGCTTCCATGAATGTTGATTGTGGAGCCAAGCAAAATGAAGTCTTTGACGACTTCAATCTTTTGTCAATAATGAACCACTGTTTACATTTTGGGGCAGTGTGGTGGCTCCCTACAGTAAGCAGTAGACTTTTAACCATAAGGCCCGCAGTCCAAACCCACCAGCTGCTCCATGGGAGAAAAAGACTTTCTGCTCCCAAGAAAATTTAAAGACTCAGAAACCCTATACAGGGTCACTATGAGTCAGACCCAACATGACAGTACTTAACAATAATATTTACATTTCAAAGTCCTGGTAAGGCACTGTAGGATAAGCATTGGACAGCTAACCTCAAGGTTGGCAGTTCAAAACCACCAGCTGCTCCTCAGAAACCCTATACAGAGTTGCTATGAATCAGAACCAACTTGATAGCAGTTAACAACATTTAGGTTCTAAAATCAATCATCAAAATCAAATAATAAGGAAAAAATGCTATCAGGTCACATTAGAATAGAGTATATTGTTGTTGTTAAGTTGGTTCTGACTTATAGCAACCATGTTATAGGGTTTCCAAGGAACAGCTGGTGAGTTTAAACCAACTGTTCAAACTGAGCTCGCAGTCCAGCACTGAGCTTGCAATCCAGCACATTAACCCATAGCACCACACCAGAACTCTGGAATAGTATAGCTACTTTCTTAAGTATCGTGGAGTCGGTTCCGACTCATAGTGACCCTGCACAGGGTTTTCGAGACTGCAAATCTTTACAGGAGCAGAAAGCTTCATCTTTCTCCCGCGGAACAGCTGGTAGTTTCGAACTGCTGGAACTGCTGACCTTGAGGTTCACAGTCCGATTCGTAACCACTACGTTACCACTGGTAAATCTCTAATATCACAATTAGTTTTTTGGTTTTGGTTTTTGTATGGTCATTTAAAAAACAAAAAACTTATTGTGAGTTGAGCGAAGGTTTACAAAGAGATCATCAGTTTTACATTCAACAAATTATTTCGATGATAACAAGCCCCTCACTGTACGGTCAGTTAACAGTATTTCCCTTTATTGTACGGTCCTTTTTAATGCAGTATGTTAAGGTTTATAGAAAGTCATAGGGGAGGAAATCCTTTAAACAGCATGCTGTGGTCTTGAAAAATAAAAATGAACCTGTTGCTTTGGAATCAATTGTGAGTCATAGGTTTTAAATGTATTCTCAACTTTGATATATATTGTTAAATACACAAGGTGTCTCACTTATTCAGTAAGGTATGCTACACACTTGGAAACTATAGCTGTTAATTTCTCTGTGTATTACCTTTGTCATTGATGAAATGGCAATCATGGCTACTACCTTCCTAAATTGATGTATGTGAGAAACACATGCAATAAAGTAGATACTCAAGATTATTATATTGCAGAAGAAACACAGAATCAATGTTATATGGAGGGGATATTCTTATCTTCCTAAATGGAACGTATCTTCTTACTTTGGCTGTTACATTTTCAACAAGGTATAAATGTAGAGTAGGACACAAAATATACTCTGGTCTAAATTAGGCAGTTTTAAGTGGAAAAGTGTTTATAATAAGTGAACTATTATGCTTTGTTTAATTACTTCAGTTATTTTTGCTTTTCTGGACCTAGCATTTGCTTCAAAATTACCTAACAAAAACCCAAGACATTTTGGTTCTAATTGC